CAGCCAAGCAGCATCACCTCTAGCAACCATGAAGTTAACATCAGGCGAGGGTCTGCATGCGCTCTTGCTTAAAGATTCACTAAAAACGTAGACAAAAAAAAAGGACAAAAAGGAGGTCCTTACTTCTGACGATAGGCAAAAAAACAGAAGCTGAACAGCAGGTGGAGGGTTGGCCACCAGCAGAGGCCGTCCTAGGCCTTTTTTTCCTTCAATGAATGGAAGAGAAATATCTGTTGGACCTGCCAGAAAATCTAGTGAGCTCCTAACTTCCTGAAGTCAGGTGACAATACTGCAATGAAATTGGAAGCAGTAATATAAGCCTTAACCAGGTTACCTCTGTTACATCAATTCTCCCTCTTACAGAGAGGAGCAGAGAGCGAGGAGTTCTGTAGTCTAAATCAGGAGTGAGAAGGTGACAACACTTATTCACTGTACTGTAAGTGTGCTACTGGCAAAATCACTAGGTGAAACCAAGGGGGGAAAAAAATGAAAAAAGAAACAAATGCAGTCACCACATCTATGGACTGGTATGCTGCAATATATAACATTTTTGTTCTTGGGTTTGGGTGCTCTAGCCCTTTCACTGCCACGGACGTATCATATACGTCCGTGGCAGCAGGCCCCTTTAAACAAACTCTGTTTACATTTGTAAAGCCGACTGTTGGCTTTACAGCGGAAGCGACTCTAGCGGCTGAGCTGCCGCCAGATTTCTTCCAGGGGCCTAGAGAAGTGCACCTGCCCCTCCCTGCCCGACACTCCCACTTTGCTTCCCCTCCGTGGGACTGGCATGCCGGTTGTCGGCGGAAAGCCGGTGAGAAGAGTGACAAACATCCGTTTGCAGATCTCCCCGCTCTAAGGAACCAGAAGCGACACTGAATCACTTCCTGTCCCTTATCGGTCATTGATCAGATGCAGAGGCTGGGCAATCAGCTATTGGAGCGCAATCTGACACTAGGGGTCTTTTAGACCCTTAGTTTTACCTTTAAGAGTACCTGTCATCTCAAATGTGCTATCACATAGGGGGCTTGCAAGCCACCTTATGTGATAGCAATAAAAGTAAAATAAAAAAATATATAAAAAACATTTTTTTCAATGTCCCACACCAGCGCGTATTAATGTAAACACGCGTCGGGTGCACTTATGTACAAAAATTAAGATCGTGCGACACGTTAGGGATTGCAGAATGTGCCAGAATGAGAGCACTAATTCTAGAGCCAATATTCACATATATCTCTAAATTGATGGCCTGTGGGGGCTTTAAAGTGTCGCTTATGGACTATTTGGGGTATAGTATTTTGTCAGCGTTTCACAGACACATGCAGTGTCACTTAGGCATGTTGGGTATCTATTTACTCGTTGCAATCTTATCTTTTATTTTTTACAAAATTGGGCACTAAAATTAACTTAACCACTTGAAATCTGGGGTGTTAAACCCCCTTCCCGTCTAGGCCATTTTTCAGTATTCAGCGCTGCGGTACTTTTACTGACATTTACTCCGTCATGCAAAGCTGTACTGAAATTAATTTTATACCATTTTTTGCGGACAGATAGAGCTTTCTTTTGGTGGTATTTAATCACCACTGGGGTTTTTATTTTTTTACTATATTAAAAAGGAAAAATTACCAACATTTAAATTTTAAAAAAAACCTGTTTCCCCTATATTAAATGATAAAACATTTATTACCCAATTTTTTGGTAAAATATAAAAGATGGGGTCACGTCAGGTAAAAAGACACCAAACATGTCAAGCCTTAAAATTGCATGGCGCGAAAACCTCAAAATTGGCCACAGGCGACGCTTTGTAAGCTTTTACTGCTTATCAGTTTAGTGTTATCAGTGATTGATAGGCCTAAAATTATTGCTCACACTCTGACGTTCGCGGCAATATGCAACATGTGTAGTGCAATTGTCGTTTTCGCGCGCTGGTGCACCAGGGCTCTTTACATCAGACGGGCTTTTTCTGCCCGGGGGCGCGCTTGAGCAGAAAAAAAATGCCGTCTAGTTACGGCAATGCGCCACTGTGACTATGCCGTCCGTCTGGTTTTTTGCAACGGGCGGACGGCAAGTGGTTAAGTGCATTTTTTAACAATTTTTGGGGGTTTGATTAAGAGTTGCGCTAATATCATACAACATAAAAATTTGCAACTGCAACCATTTTATTCTACAGGGTCTTTCCTTTCAGAAAATATATAATGTTTGGGGGGTTTTGATAATTTTCAGGCCTAAAATGTGGATTATAATATGTGTGTGCAAAAAAAGGCTTTGGCAGCGAAAGGATTAAAGTACAGGAATCCAGTTACTAAAATCTCCTACATTGTAAGCTTTAACCACTTGACCAGGCCATATCTCACTATTCAGCACTACGATATTTTGGCTGAAATTTGTCAGTCATGCAATGCTGTACCGAAATTAATTTTATATAGTGCTTTCTTTTGGTGGCATTTATTCACCACTGGGGTTTTTCTTTACTATTTAATGAAAAAAGTACCGAAAAGTTTTGGGGGGGGGAAAAGGTTTTCCCTATGTAATGTTATGAAACATTTACTGAAATTTTTGGTCAAATATAAAAAGATGGGGGTCACATCAGGTAAATAGACACCAAACATATCACGCTTTAAAATTGCGCGCACCCACGAAATCGCAATAAACTACCATACCTAAAATTGGCCATAGGCGAAGCTTTAAAAGCATTTACCACTCATATGTTTAGTATTATTAGTGATTGATGGCCCTAAAATTATTGCTCGCAATCTGACTTTTGCGGTGATATGTAACACGTGTGGCGTAATCTTTGTTTTCGCACGTAGGCGCACCTGTTTATATGTTTAAATGTTTAATACGGGGGACTTACATTTTTTACATGTGACAATCCCCCTATGTGATAGCCAACATACGAAGAGGGTTCCTCTGTGTGTAGACATTCGGGGTCCCCAAGACCACTAATGTCACCTAGGGACCCCCAAAGAAGCTAATGAAGCAGAGATCTGATTCACCAGCTTCTTCTCTGACTAGCAGCCAGAGAAATGACAGCTTACAGCAGCCGCTTGTGTTTAAACATTTAAATCGCGGGTATCGGCGCTTAATATGAGGGCATTTTCAGGAGTACGAGTACTTGTGAAAATGCCCAGTATCAGTGCCAAATACCGGTAATGGCAGGTGAGGCCCTGCCTCACTGGTTTGTGGGTGGCATTTTTTGCCGCCCCCCTGGAATGTGCAGTCCATTGCAAGTGTCTTTGCTTTGAGGCAAATACGCCCCTGCACATAGTCAAATATAAAGTGACACTTAATGTTAACTCTTCACTTTACCAAAAAAAGTTGATAAAGCCGCTGACAGGAATGACGTGCAGGTACCCAGAAGTGCACATACCTGTAGCAGCCCTCAACGACACCCAAATACTGGTCCATACTGATCAGGAAAAGCGTCTGCACTTCCTGGTGATATCCAGGAATGCCCCTTCTCTCCTGTCACCATCACATTTTTATTGGCCTGTGAGAAAGCCCATTGCATGTGCCAATGAGAATGTATGGGGGGTAGGGAGTGAGCAAGCTTTATGTCTCACAGGCAGCACTCCCTTCTGCTATCATATAACAAGGTTGCCAGTCTTAAGCTGCCCATGCACTGGTAGATTTTCATATGAACGTTAACTTATAAAAAAAATCTAAGCAGAACATTCCAAGATGCCTTCAAGACGACTTGACAAATGTTGTTCAAAATTTCGTATAATTTTAACATTTAAATTTTGGGATGAATGGAGTTTCCCAAATGGAAACCACATTTCCCGTTAGAATTGCATTCATTTGAGTAACATTTTCCATCCTGCTCCTTTTATTATTTTTTTGTGAAAAAATGAGTGTGCAGCGCTATACTAAGTGAAATGTAATCCCTCTTTCGGGATATATAAAAGTGAAAATTATAAATATTTTAAATAAATATCACACAATATTAAATAATCTTACAAACCATTATGTACAGTGAATATCCAAAAATTTAGGTTAAAATGATGTGTTCACACTGTGGTGATAAAATTAACTGTAGTCCTTGGGTGAGGGTACAGATAACAACCAATTTTAAAACAATTCCTAATAGTGCTTCATTTCTCAAAAGAAAATTATTGAAAAAATATTTAGTGGAAAAATGATTAACGTTCTGTGCAAAAAAGTTTTCAAGTGGATCCAATAAAACTCTAACAGAATAGAATAAATTCTCCCACACCGACGTGTATATGTGTCTCCAAAGTGTCCCCCTTCGGGGTGCGCACTCACCCCACAGCTGAAATGGTATAGCGGAGATGATGAATCAGAGGGTCCACATCCCAGATGTTACTTTCAGCAATGTTGCGTCCAATGCGATTTATATAATTAAAAAGGAAATCTCCTCATGGTGCAGTATACATAAACGTTTATTAATAAAAACATAAGTGACTCACAGTTTAAAACGAAAAATCCGGCCGGTAAAATACAAGCGTCTCAGTCCTCTGCTACTTCCTGGTATGACGTGGTATCAATTTGGATAGGCCCGCCCCGACGCGTTTCGTCACACTTGACGTCCTCAGGGGTTTGCAGGTCTATCCATTGATACCTTTTGGCTACTTATATAGGTTGTATGACACCTTAATTGGAGTCCTTTATACAAAGTACCACTAGGTGTCTCCATCACACAACAGACTGAGTTCTCATCATTGAAAATATAAACGGGTGATTGCTATTAGTTATACTAACCTCTGTAATCATTATTCTCAAGACATATAAAATATATATTAAAAATGTATAAATAAAAAATGTATAAAATTTATATGTATAAAAAGGAATGTCATGACAAATATTTTAGATGGATATTAGGTAGATGGGATCTGAATAAATAGAATATATAATAAAATGATATTGGTGTGTGTGTGGCCAGTTTTATCCTGTAAGTGTGATGTAGACTAGTTTCCAAGTCTGTTATTCAAAACCCAACACAAAGTCACAAATACACAACACTAATTACACTGTACATGTACCTGTTTCTTGCATTTGTCAACTTTGTCTCTTTCCTGGTTTGTGAGGAACTTGCCCATCTTTTTTTGCCACTGAAGCACCCATTCATAGATTATGACAAAATCGCCAGTTACCATTTCCAAACCATTGTATATAGATTTACCGAGCTGTTCATCTTTTCCTGCATACGTTAACCAAAAAAAAAAAGAAAAGATAAAAATACAATACAGATATGCCTGAAATCGAACACTAAGCAAGTGTTGTCACACCAGATTTCAAAACGGTGCTTCTTTCCACAATGGCTTAATAGTTTTGGAATCACTGACCTGGATCAAAAAAATACAGTGCAAGAGTTCCAACTTCAATTGACACACACTTGTCTGAGGCCCAAGAGAGCAGACAATAAAAATAAAATTATGTTTCTGATCTATATATATATATATCTGCTTTGATAAATATATTTTTATTACAGTTTTGAGTTGTTTAGACAGTAATCTTCAAATAAGGAGCATAGTCAAGATAGGGATAGCTCCTTTAAAGAAAAGGGCAGAACCTAACAGCTGGGAGAGCAGCACATCTAGTCCGGGTGGTGAGGGTAATGCAGGAAGGCCTAGACAGGTTGTGGTAATAGGGGATTCTATAATTCGGAGGACTGATAGAATAGTTTGTCACCCGGATTGCCTCAACCGGATGGTTTGCCGTCTCCCAGGTGTCAGGGTTTGGCATGTGGTGGACCGGGTGGACAAATTACTGGGAGGGGCTGGGCATGACCCAGCTGTCTTGGTCCATGTTGGGGCGAATAACAGAATACATGGAAGATGGAGAATCTTTAAAAAATCAATTTAAAGAACTAGGTTGCAAGCTGAAGGGAAGGACCTCCAAGGTAATATCTTTGGAATATTGCCGGTGCCATGCGCAAAGCAGGACAGACAGCGAGAGCTTAGAAAACTAAACCATGGCTGCAGACCTGGTCTAAGAGGGAAGGCTTTGGGTTTCTAGAGCACTGGGCTGACTTTTTATTAGGGTACAACCTATATGCTAAAGATGGTCTGCACCTAAAAGAAAGGGGGGCTGCTGTTCTAGGGGAGAGGCCCATGGGAGGGTTGGGGGTGTATTTAAACTAGGATTGAGGGGGGAGGGAAAGATGGAAAAGCAAACTGGATATGAAAATTCCCATGTTGCAAACAAACATTGGAGATGATAGTACTAATTGTACTACAACAAAAGATGCAGCAATTACAAGTGAAAAAATTGTATTTTTGTAATCACCGTAAAAACCTTTTCTCTGCGTTCATTGAAGGACACAGGAAACAGATCAAGGATCATGTACCGTAGGGTAATATCGCCACCTGCAGGAGAAGGACTCTAGGCACAAAACTAAAGACAAATTACAGCCTAGGGGCGGCCCCTGCTGGTGGCCAATCCCCCCACCCGCTGAAAAGTCTCCAGTAAGTAACAAGCCGTTAAGAATACACACCCAAACAGAGAGGGCGGGACCCGTGTCCTTCAATGAACTGAGAGAAAAAATCCTATTTTCTCTTCCGTTCATTGAAGGACAAAGGAAACAGATCTAGGATCATGTGCCGTAGGGACTTCGCAAAGCAGTACCAGGCAGAGGGGTAGTCACAAAAAAAACAATACCCCATCAGAAAGCACCAAAGGGCCGCCTGCAACACCGTGCACCCCAGACCAGCATCCGCAGATGCCAAAACATCCACCTTGTAGAACTTGGCAAAGGTATGAACAGAAGACCAAGTAGCGGCCTTACAAACCTGAGAAACCGAGGCACCATGACGAAAAGGCCCAAGATGCCACAACAGCCCTTGTAGAATGGGCCTTAACAGAAAAAGGAGGCTCACGCCCCTTAATGGCATAAGCCTGAGAAATTGTGTTACGAATTCATAAAGAGATGGTGGCCGAGGATGCGGCCTGACCCCTCCGAGGACCATCCGCAACAACAAATAAGGAATCCGATTCACGGAAGGAAGCCGTAGCATCCAAATAAACATGGAGAGCACGAACCACATCTAAACAGTGCAGCGCCCTCTCCTTTCTATGAACGGGCTTCGGACATAAGGAAGGCAAGACAATGTCCTCATTGAGATGAAAGGCCGAAACTACTTTAGTTAAGAAGGACGGCCGAGGACATAGAACCACCTGGTCCCAATAAAGGACCAATAATGGCGATTTGCAAGATAGAACCGCCAACTCCGAAACCCTGCGAACGGAGGTGATCGATGCTAAAAAGGCCACCTTTTGAGACAAAGTCAGAAGCAGAATCTCTCTCAAAAGGTTCAAAAGGAGATTCCCAATCCCAAGGTGGCAACGGGGACCGAACAGGAGGAACAATACGCGTAACCCCCCTGTACGAAGATCGAAATCAAGGCGTTGGAAGCTAACACTAAGCAAGTGTTGTCACACCAGATTTCAAAACGGTGCTTCTTTCCACAATGGCTTAATAGTTTTGGAATCACTGACCTGGATCAAAAAAATACAGTGCAAGAGTTCCAACTTCAATTGACACACACTTGTCTGAGGCCCAAGAGAGCAGACAATAAAAATAAAATTATGTTTCTGATCTATATATATATATATCTGCTTTGATAAATATATTTTTATTACAGTTTTGAGTTGTTTAGACAGTAATCTTCAAATAAGGAGCATAGTCAAGATAGGGATAGCTCCTTTAAAGAAAAGGGCAGAACCTAACAGCTGGGAGAGCAGCACATCTAGTCCGGGTGGTGAGGGTAATGCAGGAAGGCCTAGACAGGTTGTGGTAATAGGGGATTCTATAATTCGGAGGACTGATAGAATAGTTTGTCACCCGGATTGCCTCAACCGGATGGTTTGCCGTCTCCCAGGTGTCAGGGTTTGGCATGTGGTGGACCGGGTGGACAAATTACTGGGAGGGGCTGGGCATGACCCAGCTGTCTTGGTCCATGTTGGGGCGAATAACAGAATACATGGAAGATGGAGAATCTTTAAAAAATCAATTTAAAGAACTAGGTTGCAAGCTGAAGGGAAGGACCTCCAAGGTAATATCTTTGGAATATTGCCGGTGCCATGCGCAAAGCAGGACAGACAGCGAGAGCTTAGAAAACTAAACCATGGCTGCAGACCTGGTCTAAGAGGGAAGGCTTTGGGTTTCTAGAGCACTGGGCTGACTTTTTATTAGGGTACAACCTATATGCTAAAGATGGTCTGCACCTAAAAGAAAGGGGGGCTGCTGTTCTAGGGGAGAGGCCCATGGGAGGGTTGGGGGTGTATTTAAACTAGGATTGAGGGGGGAGGGAAAGATGGAAAAGCAAACTGGATATGAAAATTCCCATGTTGCAAACAAACATTGGAGATGATAGTACTAATTGTACTACAACAAAAGATGCAGCAATTACAAGTGAAAAAATTGTATTTTTGTAATCACCGTAAAAACCTTTTCTCTGCGTTCATTGAAGGACACAGGAAACAGATCAAGGATCATGTACCGTAGGGTAATATCGCCACCTGCAGGAGAAGGACTCTAGGCACAAAACTAAAGACAAATTACAGCCTAGGGGCGGCCCCTGCTGGTGGCCAATCCCCCCACCCGCTGAAAAGTCTCCAGTAAGTAACAAGCCGTTAAGAATACACACCCAAACAGAGAGGGCGGGACCCGTGTCCTTCAATGAACTGAGAGAAAAAATCCTATTTTCTCTTCCGTTCATTGAAGGACAAAGGAAACAGATCTAGGATCATGTGCCGTAGGGACTTCGCAAAGCAGTACCAGGCAGAGGGGTAGTCACAAAAAAAACAATACCCCATCAGAAAGCACCAAAGGGCCGCCTGCAACACCGTGCACCCCAGACCAGCATCCGCAGATGCCAAAACATCCACCTTGTAGAACTTGGCAAAGGTATGAACAGAAGACCAAGTAGCGGCCTTACAAACCTGAGAAACCGAGGCACCATGACGAAAAGGCCCAAGATGCCACAACAGCCCTTGTAGAATGGGCCTTAACAGAAAAAGGAGGCTCACGCCCCTTAATGGCATAAGCCTGAGAAATTGTGTTACGAATTCATAAAGAGATGGTGGCCGAGGATGCGGCCTGACCCCTCCGAGGACCATCCGCAACAACAAATAAGGAATCCGATTCACGGAAGGAAGCCGTAGCATCCAAATAAACATGGAGAGCACGAACCACATCTAAACAGTGCAGCGCCCTCTCCTTTCTATGAACGGGCTTCGGACATAAGGAAGGCAAGACAATGTCCTCATTGAGATGAAAGGCCGAAACTACTTTAGTTAAGAAGGACGGCCGAGGACATAGAACCACCTGGTCCCAATAAAGGACCAATAATGGCGATTTGCAAGATAGAACCGCCAACTCCGAAACCCTGCGAACGGAGGTGATCGATGCTAAAAAGGCCACCTTTTGAGACAAAGTCAGAAGCAGAATCTCTCTCAAAAGGTTCAAAAGGAGATTCCCAATCCCAAGGTGGCAACGGGGACCGAACAGGAGGAACAATACGCGTAACCCCCCTGTACGAAGATCGAAATCAAGGCGTTGGAAGCTATTGGCCTCTGAAAAAGAACAGTCAAGGCCGAAACCTGGCCCTTTACCGTACTCAAGGCCAAACCGTGATCCACACCACGTTGCAAAAAGGCAAGAATCCTGTTCACAGAGAACAAATAAGGAGGAAAACCACCCGAATCACACCAGGCAATATATGCCCTCCACGTGCGACGGTAGATCCTCCGAGACACAGCCTTGCGAGCTCTCAGCATTGTAGAAAAAACTGCATCCGACAGACCACGGTCCCTCAATACCTGGCTTTCAGCAGCCACGCCGTCCAAACCAGCGACTGTAAAGAAGGAAGGCACACCGGACAGAAAATCCAGACGAAGCGGCAGCCGCTAGGGATCGTCCGCAACCAACTGAATCACATCCGCGGACCACGCCCTCCTTGGCCAATCTGGTGCCACAAGGATAACGGAAATGTCTTCGGCCGCTATCCTGCGTAGAAGACGCAGCAAGAAGTATATCAGAGGGAATGCGTAATTCAGACCGTAACGGTCCCACAGAGCCACCAGGGCATCCATCGCATCTGCCCAATGATCCTGGGTCTGGGCTATGAACCGATCGACCTGCCGGGTGAGACGAGATGCCAAGAGATCCACATCCGGTGTCCCCCAGCGAAGGCAGAGCTGACGAAATACCTCCAAATACCTCAGGATGTAAGGCCCATTCCCCCGGATCCACCAACTGGCGACTGAAATAGTCGGCCAAGTGTCCACTCCCAGAATGTACACAGCGGAGAGAGCCAGAACATGCTCCTCCGCCCAGGAGAGAATTCCTGCCACTTCCCGAGCCACGGCTACACTTCTTGTGCCGCCTTGATGGTTGATGTAAGCCACGGCCGTGGCGTTGTCCGACTGTACTCGGACCGACAGACCCTGGAGACGGCCAGTCCAATGTAGAAGGGAGAGCCGCATTGCCCGAAGTTCCAGCACATTGATCGAGAGGCAGAACTCCTCCAACGGCCCTGCGTCCAGGCACCCAGGACCCCCCCTCCACAGCTTAGAAGGCTGGCGTCTGTGGTGACCACCATCCAGCGTAGGGGGAAGGAAGGATTTGCCCGACACTAGAGCCGGAGACCGAAGCCACCAAACCAAGGAAACTCTCGTCGCCCGAGACACCCGAACAGCCTTGTCCAACGACAAGGGAGACCTGTCCCATTGTGACAAGATATCCCCCTGTAGAATCCTGGTTTGGTGTGGTGCTGCGAGTAAGGCACCGCCTCGAAAGAGGCCACCATGAGAACCTGCATGCAAAAACGTATCGTCGACCACCGACGCGACCGCAATAGCCTTGCATGCGAACGAAGCTTCAGAAGTTTATCCGGTGGAATGAAAACCCGCGCTAGAACAGAGTCCAGGACCAGGCACAGATACTCCAGACGAGTGGACGGCACCAGACAAGACTTCTTGAAGTTCAGGATCCATCCGAAGTCCTCCAAGGACCGCACAGTGACCGCAAGATCCTCCACCATAGGAGGAATGTGACTCCGCCTTCAGGAGAAGGGAAGCCATGAAGTCCACCTGATGGAGACACGAGACACGACACCATGGATCTGATAGATTCCATCCAGAACCTGTGTAAGGGCAGGGGGACACGTCGCGTTCAGCCACCGCCATCATCTCGTAGGCCAGCAGTCAGGACGTGCAGGGGCGGCGGAAGAACGCCTCCGACCGTAGTCGCGGCGCCGCCAGCCTGTATGGAGTACTGTGACTGGGCGGTCGAGACCCCCAGTCATATGTACTCCACCGTGCAGAACCCACAGGCTACTCAGTCGAGACAGAGCCGTTGAAGCCGACCCACCGTGGTAGAGTCTGCATGCGCTAGCTGGTCGCACAGGGGAGACTAGAAGGATCTTCGACATCCAGCCCGTCTCCCTGACGACACTTGCTAGAAGATTCCGCGAAAAAAACAGGAAAAGACCAGGTAAGAATACCTGAGAGAACATTTCTTAACTCCTTACTCCTTACTTAAAAACTGGAGACTTGTCAGCAGGTGGGGGGGTTGGCCAGCAGCAGGGGCCGCCCTAAGGCTGTAATTTGTCTTTAGTTTTGTGCCTAGCGTCCTTCTCCTGCAGGTGGCGATATTACCCTATGGTACATGATCCTAGATCTGTTTCCTGTGTCCTTCAATGAACGGAAGAGAAATGATAAGTGCTTGGAGAGTAAAATATACTCTTTCTGTTGCTTGGAGCCAATATGGGACACTGCAGCTGTCCCTTGCTAGTTCTATCCAGCTGAGAGCTGAGCGATCATGTAATCGGTGATCTCTCAAGCTCATGGTCTCTTCTCCCTGCAGAGAGCGGTGACTGTCAGTCACTACCCTGGCAGGAATTACCCCCTCTCTTCTCTGCTTGTCCTACACTCAGTGGAGTGACAGACAGGAGGGGGGGGGGGGAGGGGTGGGCATGGCTGGTTCTGGCTGTGGAGAAGTAGAGCCAGCTGTTACTTAGGCAGCTGGAAGGGGTCCTATCCTCTCTAGCTGTGGCGTAGCTCTGTGCGGTCAGCTGATATTGGGCATTAGCCCGCTTTATGCCGACTTTGGGTCACAGGAGTACTCTAGACCCAAAAGAGAAGTAAAGCCGAAAAAGGTTTGGCTTTACTTGTTTTAAAGTCCTCTTATATTACAATCTTGCTAATTCTCGCTTTTTAAACCCACCACTTTATAGGTGCTTAATGCCAATCCAGGAATGCTAGGTAATGGAAAATTGATGGGAAAAGACAAGACAAATGTAACATCCAAAAATCAGAAGGAACAAAAACAGTAAACTAGGGTGACAAGTATTGTTTGAATTTCTGTTTTCATCTCTGTCTACAGCTCCAGCACTTTCCAGCAGAACAAATGTGCTTGTTGCCCTTACTGGTGCTGCCAACGTTTATCAGAGTATTAGAGGCATTCCTTGCAATAGTTTTTTTTTGTTGGATGAGATACTTTCCTAAAAAGGTGCCCATACACCTTACAAATATCGGCGGATTTTCCTATGCGATCGCGTTTTCGTCTGATATTCATAAGGTTGATGGGCAGTGTACAACCGCAAATACTGTACAATCAATCGACTTTTGACTAACCAGCAGGTTAGAAAACTTCTTTCGATCGTCCGATTTTCGCAAGGTTGGTGGCGTTTCCGTACGTCAAAATCGTACGATCTACACTGCACATGCGCAGACGAAAATGTGTGGTTGATTACCGCAATTCGTCCAGATGCTTTATTCTAATTACCGTTGATCCAACCTTGCGATAATCGGGGCAGGATGGGGCCGCTGTACGAAAATCGCACGACGGTTCGATCATCGGACGAAAAGTGTCGTCCGATGATCGCAAAGTGTATGGGCCCCTTAAAAGGAGAACTATGTGGTCAGTGTTTTTCCCCATAGTTCTCCTTAGGGTAACGGGAGGACACAAACTAGCGTCCTCCCGTTACCCTAAGCTCAGTATACCGCAAGCCACAGCTCGCGGTATACTGAGACACCGCAGCCGGAGCGGATCCCGACTTCGATGTCGAGATCCGCTTAGCTGCGCAAGTGATAGCTGGCTCTGCCCATCTAGGAGGCAGAACCAGCTGTACCCGCCCCCTCCCCCGTCTGTTCCGCCAGCCAGCGCTGGCGGATCGGAGCGGGGAATCCAGCCTCTCCCCTGTCACGGCAGAGAGCCGTGACAGGATCGAGAAGTCAGCGAACACCGGTATATGTTCGCTGACTTCCCGATCTACTGAGCCGACCTACTATGAGATGAGTGGAAATCACTCATCTCATAGTTCTCCTTTAAGACTAAAAGCTATTTAGATGATGTGCCCTTCCGTGTTACAACAATCAGACTGCTCAGGTGAGGATAATATAAACCAGACCCACCTGTTCAGCAACCAGCCTGGGAAAAGGCATGGCAAAGCAAACATCAACTTCATTACAACACCTAAAGGCCTGAAAACTATATTTTAATTTGTCACTCTGTACTGAAAAATTGGAACTCTTTCTTGAAAAAGGATGCAAGACAGTTACATTATTAGCGACAAATATAGGCAGGTGCACAAAGTATAGCATTTACCTCACCTTTACATTTTGAGGGGAAAAAATTAAAAGTTATGACACATACAGGAAGGGTTTTAGCTAATATCAGATACTCACCCAGACATTTCCCTCTGTGCACAACTAATTGACCAGGACCACCAATGTCAAATGTCAGCACCTCATAGGAAGCTGCACTGTCATCACTACACACAGAGTACTGTCGATCTCGCCTAAAAGAACAAAAAAGTAACTAACAAGACACAAAGGAGAGCTGGCAGTATTGTACTCTCTGACCAGGAGCTGCCAGTGAAAGCATGGATCACAGTGCTGGGGATGCTGGACTGACAGTGCTCCCAGCAGAAAACGGTGATGCATATTTGTGGCAGCACAGAATAAGGTACACCTCAGTGCTGCCACATATGAGTGCAGCCAGCAGGAAGTGGTTAAATTACATGCCATAGTTTGAAATAGCACAAGTCATTCAATTCAAGTGCACTGGAGAGGCTGGTGCGCTGGGAGCCATGTGATGTGTGAGACATGGGAGTATTGTCCTCCATGAACATCTACTCTATTCTATTTACAGATATACAATGACATTTGACTTGTTCTTTAGACCAGTGCTGGCTGGCACATTACAGGTGCTCACTTCAACGCATTACATGTGTGTAGAAAAAAAACACAGTTCCTTAGTGTAGGCCAGGTCCCCTTTACATCTATGAAACGTTACAACTAAAATTACACTGGTGGAACACAGTAACAGTTTTATTTGTTTTCAAATTGAGCAAAATGTCTAAATTCCACACAGGTTTATGTAATACAATCCTGGTTTAAACCAAGAACCTATTATCCCTCACTATTTCAAGAGTTGAAATAGTGAGGGATAAAATCTTAACACTAACCACTGGCTTGCACATGTATCATCATATGGTTCAGCAACAAATGTATTAAAGGCTCATTCTATCTGAAACTGATATTTCAGCCTTGAAACATAACAATCCAAACAATGGTCATTTTTCTTTTAAGACAAACCAGTTGTAAATCTCTTATACTTGTAGACTGGATACAGTTGCAATACCTAGAGGTGAATGCTTGTACTGTCACATACCAAGCAGAGTGCCCCAACCCCTTTCAGCTCTGTCCCTTTGCGGCCCCTCAACCCTCTCTATTCACTGAGACATTGTTATGGTATCATATAACTAGCAGCAAAGGGCTGCCTGAATTTAGTCATATTGATGTCAAAATAATGCTTTGTTTAGTGCAAATGTTAAAAGGAAGATGAAACGTCAATGTAGAATAAACAGCTTATAGGAAAGCAAACTGTAGCAAAAGACATATGAAGTCTTCTATTACTGACCTCCATCTAAAAATGCAAGGAATCTGGATGTCTCTGGCTATAAAACTTTAAGCTCTGACCTGGAATGAGGCTGCAGCAAGTGAAGTCTAACAAGCCTACTTAATCTGGGTGCATAAATCTGAAGGTGTAGAAGACAGTCAGGCCACCAGTATTTTCAGAAGCAGAGGTAAGCAATAGCACCCTTCATATTTCCTCTGTTCAAGCTTCTTTGGAAGGTAAAATGTGTTTACTTTGATCTGCCAGCAGAGGTAGTGCGAGTTCTGTTGTGTCCTCCGTGTTCTGGTAGATTTCCATTAGTTGTTAGGGTTTTAGGTCCTGCGATGTTATTAATTTTTACAGAATTTTCCTGACATGTCTGGTTGGCACTTTCAAGTCTCTCCTGAAAAACAGAAAAAATAGGATTTTTGTACTCACCATAAAATCCTTTTTGTTGTGTTCATTGAAGACATCATAGATCTGGAACCAGGTATTGCACCACCTGCAGGAGAATGCTAGGCACAAAACAAAGACAAAAGACTGCCTAGACAAAAGGACATCCAAGCAACGGAGAGCTCTCTCCTTCCGAAGAGTAGGCCTAGGACACAGAGAGGGTAGAACAATATCTTTGTTAAGAAGAAGAAAGGCCGAAGCGACTTTTGGAAGAAAGGCTGGCATGGGTCGGAGCATAACCTCGTCCCTGTGAAGAACCAGAAAAGGAGACTCACACGACAAGGCTGCCAGCTCCGAAACCCTCCGAACAGAGGCAATAGCCTCCAAAAAGGCCACTTTTGAGACAGGGTTACAGCAGAATCTCCCTCAAATTCAAGTGGAAACTCCTGCAAACACCAAAATCGAAAAAATCCCAACGGAGGTAACGAAGACCTGATGGGAGGAACGATATCTGTAACCCCTAACACAAAAGTATGAACTAGAGATTTTGATGGCACAGGCCGCTGAAAAAGAATGGCTAGTGACAAAATTTAGCCCTTAACCATGCTCAGGGCTAGCCCCTGATCTACCCCAGGATCACTGAATAAATGGGTGGCGAAAGATCCCTGGCCTCACACCATGCAAAATAGGACTTTCATGTTCGCTGGTAGATTTTACGCAAAGTAACCTTACGTGCCTTAACCAAGCGGGAAAGACTGAATCGAACAAACCACGGTCTTCCAACACGTGGCTTTCAACAGCTACGCCATCAAAGCCAGAGACTATAAAAAGCAGGATGGAAGACAGGACCCCGAGAGTGAAGATCTGGCCGAAACGGAAGGTGCCAAGGTGTGCCCGCGATCAGGCCAATCCGGGGGGCCACGAGAAGGACGGGAATCCCTGAGAGAAGCCGCAAAAGGAAGGTGCACTGGGGGGTGGAAGGCAAAAATCAGAGAGCAATGGTCCCATGGAGCCACTAGTAGCTCCGCCTACGGGCCCTGGGTCCTGGCCACGAACAATCTTCCTGTTGAGGCAAGATGCCAAATGATCCACATCCGGGGTCCCCTAACTGAACCAAACCTGTGGAAACACCTCAGGATGTAACAACCACTCCCCCAGATCCCCAAACTTGCGGCTGAGGTAATCGCAAGATCCTGGTGCCACAGTTTGGCCCACACCGTTAAAGTTTGAAAAACTAGGGCTGAGGCCAAAGACAGGGTGCATTAAAGCTCCAGCAATGACAAACACAGTCCTCGAAGCGGCCTCCGCCTTCCAATCTGTGGGGTCCCGAAAGGAAGTGGAACCCTCCAAAGGAATCACTGTAGCCCTATACAGGCGAAACAGAGATGGATCCATCAACAGCGAAGACCCCCTTCCCAGGGGTAGCGAATGGAAAACTGTTTAGGAACCAGGAAGGACTTAATGGAATGTTTCCACTCCTTGTAAATCAAGTAATTAAAAAAAGAGATGTATGGGAAAACCTTGCCGGACCCCACCTAAACCTGTGAGTGTCAAATGGAACCAGAGTCCCCATAGATGCAGTGGGAGCGTCCTTTATCTTCAAGGTCCCCCAAACCAAACGATCAGGGCAGAAACCAACTTCCGTTCTCAGAGCAGGAGAGACGCGGACGAACCATCGACACTGTCTGACCGCTCCAGAGAGAAGTTCCCAGGAGAAGGCCGGTCTAACACCGCAGTAACCTCTTCCTCCATGTCAGATCCCTCTAAAAGGGGCTGGAGAGAGCAAAAACATCCACCATTTTCCGGTGGATCCCCGCACCAAGCGCACCCAAACTGCGACACAAAACCACCCATAGCGGATGAAAAGGACGCAAAGAATAGCGTCGTACCTGGGACATTCGCCATCCCCAGAGAAGGTCCCGAGGGTGGCACAGGTGACTGGGAAAGGGGTGCCAAGGTGCAGGCCGCACATAGAGGGGAATGGTAAGTATCCGCACCAGAAAGCCAGCAGCCCTCGCACGCCACCACAGAGACCTAGTCCCTGCGATCCATTAACGCAACCGCCTACCCAGAACAAACCCATCAGCACCCACAGCTGGTAGGGAGAGGCCAGGCAGAACACCCACGGATCCCCCCCCCCCCCCCCCCCCAGCCGCCATGACGGTGGACTGATAGAAGAGTCATCTCCCCCCACAATGTGGTACGTCCCTCCTCACCACGCCAGCCGCCATGACGGTGGACTGATAGAAGAGTCATCTCCCCCCACAATGTGGTACGTCCCTCCTCACCACGCCAGCCGCCATGACGGTGGACTGATAGAAGAGTCATCTCCCCCCACAATGTGGTACGTCCCTCCTCACCACGCCAGCCGCCATGACGGTGGACTGATAGAAGAGTCATCTCCCCCCACAATGTGGTACGTCCCTCCTCACCACGCCAGCCGCCATGACGGTGGACTGATAGAAGAGTCATCTCCCCCCACAATGTGGTACGTCCCTCCTCACCACGCCAGCCGCCATGACGGTGGACTGATAGAAGAGTCATCTCCCCCCACAATGTGGTACGTCCCTCCTCACCACGCCAGCCGCCATGACGGTGGACTGATAGAAGAGTCA